AAATCACTGTTATCTATCTAGATTACCTCATTCAACATTTAATATAAGGTCAATTTCATTTTTCCAGTCAGGTATGTACTCATGATAATACCTGTTAACTCAGAGAATCCAGAGAGAAAAACCATGATACGAAAATCAAAACCACTGCCACAGAGTTGACTTAACTGACAGCCATCCTTAGAACAGGGTAGAACTGCCTCATATTGTTTCTAAAGCTGTAAATTTTTCTGGAAGCAGACTGCTTCATTTTCCTCCTGTGGAACAGCTGTTGGATTCAAACTGCTAGCCTTGTGGTTAGCAGCCAAATGTTTTAGCCACTGTGCCAACAGAGCTCCTTAGCAAACCTGGCAAATCCTATTATTTCCTCTAAACTTATTTATACAGAATCAAGTCCTTCCCTTAAAATACAACAGATGAAATAATTAGAGAGGTATCCCTGGATATAAGACAAACGTTTGAAGACTCTGGCTTTTTAATTCATATACTTCTATACTATTTGAAGGTTCCTTTTGGAGAAAAACACATATAATAATCTCAAAACTGTAAATAAATGACTGATTTAGTCAAGATGTGAAGAAGTTAGTGAAAATTCTTTCAGCAACTGTTCTGAAACTTTAAAGGTAACAACAAGTGATTTAAAAAGAATATTCTCTTGGGGAAGTGAACCTTGAATTTCTCCCATTTTGTTATTTACACTAACTGATTTTAAATGTCCATGCTTTTTCATGATGCTCTCACTACCTTCTGAATAACACTAATTTCTTCCCACTAACCCAAACCTTCACAACTTATTTACGATTTTTTCTCCTCCTGAAGGTCTTCCCAGGCCACATTTATCCATTTGTTCTCTGAAATCCTATGTTGTTGTTGTTGTTGTTATGTGCCATCAAGTCGGATACGACTCACAGCGACCCCTCTTTGGATTTCTGAGGTATCACTACGGAAGTAGATTGCCCAACATTCCTTCCGAGGAGTGGCTGGTAGGTTTGAACCTTGAGCCTTCTTGTTAGCAGTCAAGTGCCCTAGGCACTACACTACCAGAACTCCTATAAGACTTATAAACGGTATCACAGGATTTTACCTGCAGTAATCAGTGTTATTTAACATGGATGTTTTTCATCTCACCTTTGAAATTAGTTCCTCCATGAAGGCAGGAGGAACCTAATGTACTTGTTTTCAACAAGACAAGGCACACATATATACTCTCTCAAACACCTACAGAGGTGTATATATTTAAAATTTATTATTTGATTTAAATTTTGATTTAAATTAAAATTTATTCTGTCTCAGAATAAAATATATCTTATTTGATAATTTAGATTAAAAATGTGACTACAAGCACTTCTCTAGTTATTTAGTATGGTATTCACTCTTAGCAAGCTTCATTTCATACAAAGATGATCTAAAGTCCATTCTCTGCTACCCATGTGCCAGGACATCAATTAGACACACTCACTTTTACAGTTTACAGGCATGTATCTTAACCAACTAAACTTGGAAAATAAAGTCATGATTAACTCTGGAAACAGAGCTACCAGTGTTACGATGAAGAACATTCAAGCTTCCACACTATAAAAAACCTAGATCTGTTGCCATTGGGTCAATTCCAACTCATAGCGACCCTATGGATGGATTCTGGAAACTATGTAATAAGCAAAAATACTCATACAACTTTGGTAAGCAAAGGAACTACTGTTTACTTAAAAGGAAAATGATATTGAAGGCAGAGTCTGTCTGGGCCAAAGGCAGATAAAGGAAGTAGACCAGCAGAAGCAATAGTAGCAAATAAATCGTGCTACTTAAATGCTCTTTCGTTTCTCCTATCCCATTGCTGAGTCGATTCTGAATGATAGCGACCCCCATTGGGTTTCCGAGGCAGTGAAACTTTACGGAAGTAGATTGCCCAGTACTGCTTCCCTCTTTCCCCTATTAAAAAACTCAAAAACTCAAAGCCTTTGAGTAGGATCCGACTCATAGCAACTCCTCCTTAGGTTTCCGAGGTGGTATCACCACGGAAGTAGACTGCCCAACCTTCCTTCCGAGGAGGGGCTGGTGGGTTTGAACCGCCAGCCTTCTGGTTAGTAATCAAGTGCCTTAGGCACTATGCTACCAGAGCTCTATGCTAAAGGGGAGGAAGAGTAAAATACTACTTCAGTATTGCCTTACCTATCAATAATGCTTACAGCCATTCCAGTGCTTACTTCTTAGAGAAGCAAACAAAGAAGAAATCCATAATTTAACTGCAAGGACCTATATATTGGTATATATTTTTAATAAGTAAGTTCAGACCTCCTGAAACTCATTGTTTTAATTTTAAACTCGTCAAGAAAGCATTACCAAGTTTTTCTAGAGTGCTGCTCCTGCTGCTGATCATAACAATGACAGCAAACAAGTATTAGATCATACATTTCAACTGTTTTTTTTTTTGGCCGGGGGGGGGAATAAATCATGATGAAACATTTCTGGTCATTACAGAGTTCTCTCTATAGCAACACTTTTCTTTGAAAAGCTTTCTTATTCATTATTAAAATGTCATGTTTGTTTTGAAAGGCAAAGTTGAAGTTTTAAAACTGTTAGCATGCCACTGACAGCCTATTGTCAAAAAAAGAAAAGGTCTGAAAATTCAAAACATATCTTTTTTCTAAAATGCTTAACTCGTCATTAAGTTTGACAACTCTTTTAAGTATTTTGCCTTAAGATGATCAGGGCACCTCTCTAGAGAAAGGTTTTCACAATCACTCCCCAATACATTACTAATGATTTATATAATGATTTATAAACATCCTAACACTTCAAACTTAAAAAAAAAAAAAAAAATTAACCAAATCAATGACACCCTATAGCAAATATATTTTATTACATCAAATGTTTGGAAAGCACATAAATGAAGATGCCACTCCACTACTTCCCTCTCAGATCAGATACTGAATAGGAAGCTTCAGTAATACTCAATTTTAATCTCTAAATTAAGATAAAATTTAAATATTAAGAAAGGTTCCAGCAACACCTTCCTCATTTTCAATGGACTGTCATATGTACCCCGTGGGCTCATATCCTCATTTTATAGGAAGCAGGTCAGAACACTTGCATTTTATATCAGTCATATTGATACAGTATTCTTTATTTAAATGTTTCTTTATCCCCAGTAAGACCATAAGCAGTCAAGGAAAGAAATTGTGCCTTCTGTTTCTGTTGTATCCATGACAGTACTGAATGTGAAAGCTGAGGAGCGCAGGATCACTAACGGTTAAGGGAAAGTTTCTCAACCTTTGTATTACTGACATTTTGGAACAGGCAATTCTTTATTTTGTGGTGCTTGTCTTGCACGTTACAACAACTCTTTTAGTTGTGGCTATCATAAATGTTGCTAAGCATTAATGAATGTTCTCTGGAGGGCAAATCACTCATGGTTGAGAATCACTGGGTTAAGGTATGGCATAGAGGGTACTCACTGGCTTCATGAGAAAAAAAAAAAAAAAGCCTATGAACCAAGCCTTAAAAGTTGAGTAAGAAAAAGAACCCAGAAAAGAGGAGCTGGAAGGTAAAAGCTAGTATGAAAACATAGTGCTAAGAAATAACATTGTGAGTCAGGAAGCACTAGAGGCAGTCTGTTTCTGTAAAGATTTACAGCCTTGGAAACCGTATGTGGCAGTTCTGTTCTGCCCTATAGGGTCTCTGAGTCAGAATCAACTCTGTGACAGTGGGTTTGATGTCAGACTGAGATTGCTTTTTTTCTTCCAACTGAGGCTCATCTCAGTCTATTTCATAGAACACAGCTGGTCACTCACAATTTCTTCAAGTTTTTTACAGTTCATGCCAGCTGGGCCTAGGGTGGTCCAAGACTGGATTTGGTCCAAGCCTGGACTTTTGGCTGCACCAAAAGTACAACAGCAGTCAGAGCTGCCAAAACCAATCCTGCTCACGGTACCTGCACTCCTGGTCCCTGCAGCCACCTCTCCACACTCCCATATGCCCCCCTGCATCTGGATGTGCACTAAGCCCCCAATCAGTTGTTGCTGATGCCATAGCCCCTGCCCAGCCCAGCCACACATGCAGCAAGGCTACCCTCTTATGTCCAATGGCTGTAACTTTCAGGTTTCTTCTGGTGGGCTTCCATAGGTTTTAATGTAATAGGCTTTATGGAGATTTAACTATGGATTGTACAAGGACTGCCTGTATATAACAGGGTGTTTGCACCACATCAAACCACGTAACACCCTTGTGATAGTTGAAGCTGTGGGTCAACTTGGCTGGACCACAATTCTGTGTGGTTTAAGCAATTGTGATGTAGGTTGTTCCAATGATAGGATCAGATGTATATGTTTTGAGCAGCCAATCCGTTGAAAGGGAGTTTTCCTAGGGGTGTGGCCTGCTTCCAGTATATTTATGGACATCCTGGGAAAATAGACACTCTTCTGTGGATCAGGATCCTGTTGTGCTGCTTACAACTTTCTGTGAGTGAACAACTCACCATTCGGCCTGGAGATCTTGGATTCGTCATTCGTTGGAGTCAACAGCCAGTATATGGCCTGCCAACCATGAGCTCTCAGCCCCTGTAACTGTGAGGGTTGGGAAAAGCCTCCTGCTTGACATCTGATCCAAGAACTTTGGACTTGCCAGCTTCTATAAGTGTGTGAGCCATTTTCCTAAGATAAATTTCCCTTTCTCTTTCTATATAAGCTTTACTGGTTTTGTTTCTCTAGAGAACCCAGTCTAACACAACCCTATTTCATAAAACGCATCATGGACGCTAACCAATGCATACCTGTATTTGTTCCTTTATAAAAAAATTATTTCAGAAGGAAACTTAAACTGTTGATAGTTGTTACCACAAGGAATTGGAAAGTGTTGAAGAGCTGATTGAGGAGATGCACTTTTCACTTTATATCCTCTGAAACATTTGATTTTTTCCATGAACATTAAATAAATAGATCAAAATTACCAATGTCTCAATGCCTAATGAATAATCTAAACAAAAATTTTAAAAGATTTTTAATTACCTTATAATATAACCCACCAGGTGGTCAGTGTGGGGCAATACAAACAAAGACTTTCCTGACAGTTCACAAGCATTACATAAAGCTGCAGCCCTTTCTGAAGCAATGACATCTTCTCCTGTTGATAAGCCCCATAAAGATAAAGAAGAAAATAAAATATAATTAATGTATTTTTCTAAATGATAGTTTCTCAGTGCCAAACATTGTAATTAAAAGTAACAACCCATACCACTTTTCACCATGCCAGCGAAACTCCTAGGCAAGTCCTTACAAGAGATGGGTCAAGGAGAAACATTTTGTAGCTCTAAAACCATGTTCTATGGACTTTATTCTGTACATGAGCTCTTGGTAAGTCTGTGGGGTTCTTAAACGTTACACAGTACATGCCTGCTAGAAATACACTATGGAATTTTCGAAGCCAAGACAGATAGGCCAAGCAATGCCAACAAATACTCCACAGAACCATTTCAAAAACATAACTTACAAATGGGAGCAAAAGTTCATAAAAAGGATTTCCAAGTCTCAACAAAGATATAAAAAATATTTTGGGGTATGAAAGTCTAGGAAGGTAGAAGAAATCAGCCTTTGAGACTAAGACATTTTCCTAGAGAACATTACAAATTATTCCATTAATTATGAAAAAAAATATCATGTAAGGAATATCATTTAAATAGGTCTCAGATAAGTAAATAACATTCTTTTAGAAAAATCAAGTGAATAATTATTTTACCAATTGATGTAAGTCCCCATGCGGATGTAAGCAGAACTGGAGGAGAAAGCCTTAAGAAAATTTGTACTCTTCACCATTTTAAAATTTTTTACAAACAGCAGCTATTATCAGTCCTTTAAAAATCGATACACCATCAGCCCCATAACTGAATATATGTAAGACTTAAACTTTAAAAATTATATCTCTACGAAATAAGAGTTTCAGGTATAAGGCAATTAATTATTTAATTAACGTTTTGATACCTGGGGGCAATGGGGTTTTCTTCTGAATCAGAACAACTGCAACTTTTGTGTTTCTCCCTTGTAAACTCTGCCTGTAATGGAAAAATAGTAACAAAATAATTTTTTTTAACAATCAAAAAAAAAAGTTATTTAAGCAGTATTTTTCATCTTAGTCAAAAACTGGAAACAACTGAAATAAAATGTCCAGCAACACATGACTGGGTAAGCGACCTGTGGTACAGACATAAAACAGAATATTACTCAGCCATAAAAAGAAATGAAGTCCTGATGCATATAACAACATAGATGAACCTTCAAAACTTTATGCTGAGAGAAATAAGTTAATCACAGAATGATTTTATTTATATGAAAAAAGCAAATACACACAAAAAACCCACTGTCATTGAGTTAATTTTGACTCATAGCAACCCTATAGAACAGAGTAGAACTGCCCATGGGGTTTCCCAGGCTACAAATTTTTACAGAAGCAGACTGCCACATTTTTGTCTTGCAGTCACTGGAAGGTTTTAACACAAATCTTTCAGGTAGCAGCTGAGCACTTTAACCACTGCACCAAATATATACTTTAAGCAAATATATACCAACCAACCAAACTCGTTGCTGTTAAGTTGATTCTGACTCATATCAATCCTATTGGACAGAGTAGAACTGTCTGACAGGGTTTCAAAGGCTGTAAATCTTTACTAGAGCAGACTGCCACATCTTTCTCCCATGGAGTGGTTGGTGGGTTCAAAAAGGTTAGAAAGCTAAGCATTTTAATCAACCAGGGATCTTAAGCAAATACATAGAAGCCAAAAATTATTAGTGATTACGAGTTGAGGGGGAGATGAGGAAAGGGAATTCTTGCTTAGGAGCCAGTGAGTTTATGTTAATGATGGTGGAATAATTTGGAAAATTATGGTTGCACAGGGAGCTCTGGTAGCACAGTGCCTAAGGCACTTGATTGCTAACCAGAAGGCTGACGATTCAAACCTACCAGCTACTCCTCGGAAGGAAGGCTGGGCAATCTACTTTTTAGTGATACCGCCTCGGAAATCCAAGGAAGGGTCACTATGAGTTGGGTCTGACTTGATGGCACATAACAATAACAACAACATGGTTGCACAACTAGAAAAATGTAATCAATGGCTGAGAATTAAACATGTAGAAATTGGTAAATTGGTATACGATTTGATGTATATTATATATGTTCTCACCATGATTAAAAAAAACGTAGTCAAGTTTTTACAAGCAAAGGTATTTTATATGACTAAATAGTAAATTACTAAATCTACAAAAAATTTAAAAATGCAAAAAAAAAAGGTATTTGAAAATCCAAACTGATTTGTCTTCTAAATTTCTTCACATGTCCTAGCATTAAATATCCAAAAACTCACTGCCATCGAGCCGACTGTGACTCATAGTCACTTACACTGGGTTTCCAAGGCTGTAACTCTTTATGGAAGTAGACTCCCCCATCTTCTTTTTGTGGAGTAGCTAGTGGGTTTGAACTGCTGACCTTATGGTTAGCAGCCAAATGCCTTAAGCACTGTGCCACCAGAGCTCCTTAGCATTATATAGTGAATATTTATTCTATTTATCTATTAGGAATTGAACAATTTTCACTGGAAGTCAGCAATCTCCAAAGTGACCGTTGCAGTCTAAAAAACACTCATTTGCCCTCAGTAAATGTTAGTAAATAACAGATACATGCAATCTCACATGGTCAGCCTGATAAGTAGAAAAGATCATACCTGACTATTTCCACTCTGGTAGCACACTCAGACTGCTTTTCTTTCCACTGAGGCTCATCCCAGTCTAGTTCATAGAATACAACCACAAGGGCCGGCACCAGATTCAGGTGTTTATTCATCCAGCCAGTCTTTAAGATCCCTTTAGGAATGTACCATTCATAAGAAGTTCTCTGGAAATATTTGCAAAAGTTAAAAGGAGTTATTTGACAAAAATATCAGTGGGAACCACTTATTATTGGGTGTGAGGTGGCACTTTATGTGTAATTATCTTATTAAATACATATACAACCCATTTCTAAGATGAAACAATTTAAGAGTAGAGAGATTATATAAGAACTAGTAAGTGGTGGAGGTAGAATCTCAATTCTAGAGCCCATTTAAAGAATGATGAATGCCAAACAGTAACCTTCCCTTTTCCAGATAAATTATATTTATATTCCTCATGTTTTCAGTTTCTGTTTTAGTAAAAGCTGTTCAAAATTCAGTATGGTTTCATTTGTTTCAAAGACATACTGTCATGACAGTATATCATCTTGTTTGTGGGTGAAATAAAAAAATGAAAGATAAAACCTGGGTGCTGGCACCAAGTGCCATGTAGTAGGAGGAGGGGGCAGCAGTTCTGCATCCTGGCCTGAAGAACCCAGCCAAACTCTCAAAGTACTTTCAAATCACCTGTACTGACTCAGACCACTACAGCTCCTATTGATTCAATGTCTATTTCAGGTAAGGAAAGACAAGGACAATAAGGAAGCCTGACACAAAACAACTTGGGACATTCAGCAAAGAATAGGGCATAGGGAACTGAAAAGCACCCAAACTGGAGAAATAAAGCAGGAGTAAAGGAATTAGTTGTGCTAGGTCATTGGCTTTCCTTGATATAAAAATCACATTAAAAAATGTGTAAGGGCCAGGAGAGTTACATTTGCCCAATTTCAGATATAGAACAGTTTCCAGGGCTGGGTACGTCAAACTGGGTCTCCAAAGTGTCATTCTCAAATGTATAAACTGAAGAATCAGTTGAGGACCAAATGTAAAAAGGATGAAAATTTAGGCTTGTAGGGCAGAAAGTGTCATCAAACATTTCTCCACGGTTTTTAAAAAATGACTATTTTTACACATACAGTATATGGCATATGTGAAAACAACTAGTGTCCTTTATGTGCCTCTGTAACATTACCTTGATAAACTCTAGTGTTTTTCAGCACAGACAATAGGTACAAAACAGATAGATGTATGTATACATATACATGTATGAACACACATATGTACACAGAGAGAGCACAAGCGTGCATGCAATCATAATACCATTACCTTGGGTCTGCATTTGGGATATTCATGGTCACCTGGGAGCACTTTGAAAGAAATTGGTACCCGATCAGCTCTTCGATTGGCACAGAAAGCATCCCAAACAGCTCGATGAACAGCATTATAAACTACATCCAGGCCCGTAAGAGTAACAAAAGCCATAGGTCGACAACATAATTCCACAGGAAAATCCCACTGTGTGGGGCTCATGCTCAAGGCTTCACAAAAAATCTGAAATACAAATGTTAATACGTTCACAATTTTTAAAAACTTATTATCAATGTCTAATATATGAACTCCACCATTTAAAAGACATTACCAAAAAACCCCAAAAGGCTTTGAGTGTCTGGAAATTGTCAAGCAAATATAAAAGAATAATAAGGAAGACTTTAATTGGACCTGTTAAAATTTAATAACTGCTTGCAATAAATATTTTAAAAATCTGCCACATTAAAAAAACTAGTCAATTCTAAAACAAATCACTATTTTCAGTAACATCTCAAAACACTCACGTAACAGCTTTAGGATGAGCAGACCAAGAAAGCAGGAAGGTGATCAAACACAAATAGGTTCTACGTGACATACTTACATACTAAAAGAAAAATTACTGACTACTTATACAAAAGAATGCAACTTCTATAATTTCTGTATTTGCTAATATCTAATTTCTAAATGTCTAAAATATTAAAATAAACAATATGTTAATTATCTAATAACAGATATGTTTTCTCATTTCTCCACAATTAATATAAAATGCACTATTTAAAGGAAAATGTATGAGGGAAGAACTAATAATGAATGAAAACTCCTAGGAGGACATTCTTCTCTTATGTCCTTTAAATGAGAATCAGTCTAAAATAAACCTAAGTACACACTGACCTTAGAAAAGCAGTAATATAAAATGTGTTTATTCTAAACAAAATGATTATATTTTAAAATAATTTCTTACTTACAAAAACAGGGATCATAAGGTTCTTTTAAAAGAAAGTCTTTACTAGAATATTACACAAAACTTAAATTCAGTGTATGTGAAAGTGAGGAGCACTTACAGCACCACTTGGTACCAAAAACATAAAATATTTTCAATTGAAAGGTTATTTTAGGGAAGAATTTTCATGCTTAAGTATTGAAGAAACCATGGGTACCTTTGACTAAGTGATACGGAATGCTTAGGAAATAATAAATATCTACAACAAATAGGTGTTTTACAATTGTATAAATACACAATTTTAGAATGGAATTAAGTGATCATGGAAAAAGGATTGCAAATTTAGAGAAATAAATATTCTAGTTCTGGGGAATTTTTTGGGGTAAATAATAAAACAAAAGAGTTGTCAAAACACAATTTGGGTACCTTTGCCTGATAGCGAAGAGTCAACTAGAGCCCAAGGTCTTATTTCCCCTTAGTAACTCCAAAAGCTCAAAAATCAGCTGTGGTCTTTGAATATAGAATTGAATGAAAGGGAACAAGAAATGACTTATAAAGTATTATCCTGTCCAACAGAAATATGAGTCACATGACTACTTTTAGATTTCTAGTAGCCCCACAAATACAAAGGTATCAAATCGACTACATCTGTGGAAAGAAATGATGGAGAAGTCCAATATTATGGATTAGAACAAGGCCCAAGGCTGACTAAGGATCAGACCATCAACTGCTCAGATTCAAGTTCAAGTTGAAGCTGAAGAAAATTAAAACAATTCCATGACAGCCAAAAGACAATTTTGAGTATATTCCACCTGAATTTAGAGAACACCTCAAGAGATATGACACACTGAAGACTAATGACCAAAGACCAGATGAGTTGTTAGAAGATATCAAGAACATCATATATGCAGAAAGTAAAAGGACATTAAAAAAGACAAAAATGGATGTCAGAAGTGACTCTGAAACTTGTTCCTGAACATAAACTACTAAAGCAAATGGAAGAAATGATGAACTAAAAAAGCTGAACAGATGATTTCAAAGGCATCTTGAGAAGACAAAGTATTATAATGAAATGTGCAAAGATACGAAGTTAGAAAACCAAAAGCCAAGAACACACTCAGCATTTCTCAAAAACTGAAGAAAAAATTCAACCCTCATGTTGCAATATTAAAGGATTCTATGAGCAAGATACTGAACAATGCAAGAAGCATCAAGGACTACTGTCATCCACTTGGAAGGGGATCTATGTAGGAGATCCTGAATAGAGAGGGAGAACAATGTGGAACAAAACTCAAAATCATTTGGAGAAAAAAAAAAGGTGGGGACCAGGTTTGCTGGTCTGATAGAGCCTGGTGGAATCATTGAGACTATGGCCCCTAGCTGCCCTTCAGGTCTGGAATTGAACCCACACCTGTGGTTTCCAGCCAAACAAAAGACAGGCATATGAGTTGAACATTTACCTCAAGTAGATACTCTCCTTGGAGAGAACAATCATGGGAGAAAGAAGGGCTACTTATGCACAGGGAGACAGCTCAGGGGGCAGGAGTGTATGTAGGGATGGACACTGGGAAGAGGTAACTATGGGGAGGAAGTGGGAGGGGAGCTGTTACATTGTGGTAAACTGTGGTCAATGACATGAGACAAAGTATATGTGAACTGCTGTATGGAAAGTGAATTTGCTCTGTAAATCTTCACCCAAATCACAATTAAAAAAAAAAAGCATCAAGGAAAGATGGAAAGCATGCAGAGTCACTTTAGGAGCTCTGGTAGCATAGTGCCTAAGGCACTTGACTACTAACCAGAAGGCTGGCGGTTCAAACCTACCAGCCACTCCTCAGAAGGAAGGTTGGGCATTCCTACTTCCGTAGTGATACTGCCTTGGAAACCCAAGGAGGGGTCGCTACTTACCAAACAGAAATGTTCAACCATTTCAAGAGGTAGTGTATGATCAAGAACCAATGATAATGAAGGAAGAAGTCCAAGCTGCACTGAAGGAACTGCCAAAAAACAAGGCCCCAGGAATTGACAGAGTACCCAATGGGATGTCTCAACAAATGGATGCTGGAGGCACTCACTTTAAAGACCTCTTTAAAGTATTAAAAAGCAAGTTGATTTGCAAACTAAGGTTCTGATCCAAGCTATGCATGGTATTTTCAATAGGCTCATATGCATGCAAAAGCTGGACAAAGAAGTGATACCTTTGAATTATGTTGTTGGTAAAGAATATTGAATATACCATGAACTGCCAGAAGAATGAACAAATCTGTCTTGGAAGAAGTACAGCCAGAATGCTCCTGAGAAGCAAGGATGATGAGACTTCATCTCATACACTTTGGACATCCTAACAGGAGGGACCAGTCCCTGGAGAAAGACATCATGCTTGGTAGAGTGAATGAAAAAGAGGAAGACTCTCAACGAGATGGGCTGACACAGTGGCTGCAACAGTGGGCTCAAACAGGACTGAGCAATGGTTCATTTTGTTATACATGGGTCACTGTGCCAGAATCAACTCAATGGTACCTAACAACAACAACAACAACAAAACCCCACTACCATCGAGTTGCATCGGACTCATAGCGACCCCTCCTTGGGTTTGTGAGGCTGAAATCACTACGGAAGTAAGTTGCCCAACTTTCCTTTTGGGGAGTGCCTGGTGGGTTTTATCAGTCAGCCTTCTGGTTAGCAGTCAAATGCCTTACGCACTATGCCACCAGAGCACTACCCCACAAGATAGTAGTCATAATGAAAAAGATATAAACAAGCAGGTAAAATTAATTTAAATTCCATAGTTTATTTAACCCAATATGTTTAAAATATTATCATTTCAACACTACCATGCTATTTTTCTCTATACTAAATTTTCAGAATTCAGTGTGCATTTTACACTCATAGCACATCTCAATTTGGACTTGCTTTATTTCAAATGATAGAAAGCCACATGTGGCTACTGACTATGGTACTGGACAGGGCAGTTTAAATTATGGTAAATCTGTCCCAAAGTTAGTAACATTTTATCAGAAAGTCATTCCATGTTCTATCTTAAAAGCTTTGACACTGGAAATGGCTGTGCCTATTCTGTAGCAAAGGATGGGAATGGGAAGAACAGCAGCAATGGGCAAGCACCGAGATGGCAGTGGAGAAGATTTCTGATCTCCTGGAGCAACTCTGGGGAGCAAGCGCCCCAACTATGACCAGGAAGGAGGTGCTTCTAGCAGATGAGCACTGTGCACCGGAGGTCATTAATGCAAGGGAAGTAATCTACAAGCAAGCCTGGAAGATAGTAAGGCTGGCTCTTGGACAGCACAATCATCCACTTGGAGTACACACTGCAAAAAAAGGTGGCCTAATCAAAGTGACAGCTAAAAAAAATTGTGATCACTATGTTTTAATTAGCTCAGGCTGTAGAAATGAGGTTAGTTAAGATCGGGATTCAGCGCTATTCCACAGCAAAGCGACCAAAACAGAAAGGACAGTTTGGGCTCTGGATGGTGAAAAGATGCTGAGGATATGAAGCAACAACACGGCCACAGTATTTTGTCCCGGTTGTTCCAATGAGGAAAGGCAAAGAATGCTACAACCATAAAGACGGACATTATCTTTCTCCTTCCCTCCCGCCTTAAACCCGGGGGACCCTCGAAATGGCTGCGTCTTTTCTTTGGAGTCTTAAAGAGAAATACAGGCATTGCACCCGTTGACGCCGTCGGAAAACGCACGCACCAGATCAGCATTGTTAAGAGCTCTCTCTCTCCCTTGGAGGCCTCGCCTGGCCCCGCAGGTCTCCATACCCGAACTCACCTAGGCCGCACACCTCGGGCTTGCTGCAGCCGTGACCAGTCGTTGCTAGCCAGGAGACGACCAGGGAAGTCAGACAACAGCGTCCCAGAACACCGACACCAGTCGCTACACCCGCAACCCCACATTCAGCTCCAGCAAAGACTTCCCTGTCTGCACCTGCGCTGGCACCGGAAGCACTTTCTGGGCCTGAATGACAGCATTCTACACCAATAGTTGTTTCCGAACTTTATGCTGCTGCGCATATCTGTAAAGCGGACGTTGTATTTTCTGGAGGAGAAGGATTTGGGGCGGACAGAGAAGTAGCCAATAGGGGAAGCGAGGAGGCAAAGGGGGAGACACCCGGACGTCCCTCCTGCGGCGGCTTCTGGCTCCCCGCCCACAGGCCTCTGCCGGCGGCTTCACGCTGCTAGTGGGCTGTAGGCGAGCGACTCACTTTTGGGGGTGTCAAGGGTGTGTACGCAGGCAGAGGTGCGAAGGGGGACGTCAGGGTCTCGGGGCCACTGTCCTCTCTTTCTCTTCGTCGTCGTAAACGCTGTCTGCTTGGAAGACGCCCCGTGACCGACGCGATGAGTGCTAACGAGGACCAGGAGGTGAGTCCCCCGGGCCGAACATCCCTTTCTCTCGCAGCCGCGGTGTCCCAGCCCAAGGGAGGGCGGCTGACCCCGTGGAAGCTCCAGCGAGACCCGGCGTCCGTACAAGTGTCTGCGCACATGTCCTTCACTCGTAAACCCGCATATACTGGCTGTGGTGCCCCATGTTTACCGGTGCCCTAGGAGGAGAAGTCAAGCATGCCTAAATGTGCAGGTGTCCTCCTTTGCCTCCACGTCCCCCAAATTTTTCATTTTTCCAAACCCCAGGTTTTTAATAGCGAGAATGAGTGTCCTTGTTACACGACCCAAGTACATTGGCACGTCTTGAATACCGTTTGTATTTTAGCGCTTGTGTACTGAATTATGTGGATTTGGAAAGCTGACCACCTTTAAACTTTAAAATCTATTGGCTGATAGAATACCCTTAAATATTTGGTGGAGGAAAATAATGACACTGGTGCCTCGGGTTTCTGTCCATATTGTTTGGTAGAAATAATTTATCTATCTGGTAGTTGTTGTATTGCTTACCTAGTGCTGCTCTGACAAGAATATACCACCAATAGGATGCTTGAACAAGCACGAGTTTTTTCTCTTAGAGTTTGGAGGCTTTAAATCTGAGTTCCAAGTGCCAGGCTTTAGGGCCTGGGTGAAAGCCCCTCAACCTTGGGTTTCAGCTCTGTCTCCTGCTCCCAGCCTACTGGCTCCCAGCTGCTGGCTGCTGAGACTGACAAGCCCAAGCTTGACAAGTAAAAAGGCACAGTCCTGATGTTACCAAACCACGTGGCAGCCATGAATTCAAGTCCATTGAAAGTCCTAAGGTTGGCATTGCAAGGCAGGCTGCTGAACAAGCGTGGCTACATGCAGGGTTCAAGCAAGCCATGAGCTAGAGAACATTCCCCAAGGCTTCTCCTTGTATACAGGAAATAGACCACATGCCTAAAGCAGCTACTCACCTGGTCGCAGTAGATTCCACCATGGAGTTGATTCCCTGTCTCTGCATGGGGAATATTATATCCAGCTGCCCAGCCACTCAACCAGGCCCAGCCAAGTTAACACACAAACTTAACTACCACAGTTGTCCAGTGGATCAGAAGTCTATTTTGAGCACACATTTACCCTCTGAATTGTACGGTTTGTGCTCAGTTATTTTCTTGTGAAATATCCCTTTGAAATCAACTCATGTAAGAGTTGTAGGGTATGCTATAGGTCAGCTGTCGGGGTACCTTCTAATTTTGTAACCGTGCAGATAAAAAAGTCACTATACAGAAGTAAAGTGACTTGCCCTATGGCAGGCTGTATAGTGAGTATGCAGTAGACTCAGGGCTAGAACCCAGGTCTCCTAAATAAGAGGCAGTTGCTCACAGTTCATTTAGAATATATTGCTTGAAAGTTAGCATTTTTACATGAAAGATTTAATAGAATTTCTGGACTAGGCATTACCTTTGAAGCAGTGAGAGTCCAATAAGCTACTTGATACCTACCTGAGTGCCTTCTAAAATTTATACATACGTATGTACATATATATATATATATATATATATACGTACGTATGTATTGAACTCTCTTGGCATAGGGCCTAAGGCATTTGACTGCTAACCAGAAGGTTGGCAGTTCAAACCCACTAGCCGCTCCACTAAAGGAAGACTGGGCAATCTCCTTCTATAAAGATTTACTGCTTCAGAAACCCAAAGAGGGTCACTATCAGTCTGAATCGACTCGACAACAGTTTTTTTTAAAAACCAAGAAACCAAACTTACTGCTGTCAAGTTGGATCTGACTCATAGCGACTCCTCCTTGTGTTTCCGAGGCGATATCACTACGGAAGTAGATTGCCCAATTTTCCATCCGAGGAGTTGCTGGTGGGTTTGAACCACCAGCCTTCTGGTTAGCAGTCAAATGAATGCCTTAGGCACTGCGCCACCAGAGCTCCTATATGTGTGTGTGTGTATATATAAGACCTATATACATATGTATTTGGGAGCTCTGGTAGCATAGTGGCTAAGGCACTTGACTGCTCACCAGAAGGCTGGCGGTTCAAACCCACCAGCCACTCCTCGGAAGGAAGGTTGGGCAATCCTACTTCCGTAGTGATACTGCCTCGGAAACCCAAGGAGGGGTCGCTATGAGTCGGGGCCGCTATGAGTCGGGGCCGACTCAATGGCAAATAACAACAACAACAACATATGTATTTATATAGACTCTGTGTGTGTGTGTGTGTGTGTATTTATTTATTAATATTCTTGCTAAGTGGATTTCTTAGCTAGTGCTGACAGTTCTGGCTCCTTGGGAAGCCTGTGGCACACAGTGTGTGCTGTTTCACAAAGTATAACCTGTGGACTCAGAATTACATCACTTGAATAATTGTTAGGCAAACATATTTGTGCTCCACCTCAGACTCACTGAGTCAAAATTTCTGTTGTGGTGCCCCTGGACCTCCATTTTAGAAAAGAAAATGTCATTCCTCTTCCACATGACTGACTCAGATCTATGAAGACAATATCCCTACCCCGTTTTCCATACCTTTTCTCAAGCTAAAGGTTCCTTCTAGCTTTTCTTCATTCATTCATTCATTGTTTTCAGTTCCTTTACTACCCTGGAATTGTGTCTGTGGACATGTTCTAAGTTTATTTTTATATTTTATTTTTAAATTGTTGCATCATACAGTTTCCTGCAGTTAGATTTTACCCCTTAAGTACTTGCACTGCTGAAAGTACTGTCTTTCATCCTCTACTTACATATTTAGGTATCTGAGTCTAAATTCTTCTACCTACTCTGTTAAATTTCATCATGTTACATGTTTTTCAAGTTCCCTTTGGTGGCATAGTGCCTAAGGCATTTGACTGCTAACCAGAATGCTGGAGGTTCAAACCTACCAGCCACTACTCGGAAGGTTGGGCAATCTACTTCAGTAGTGATACTGCCTCAGAAACCCAAGGAGGAGTCGTTATGAGCCAAATCCAACTCAATGACAGTGAGTTGGGTTTTTTTTTTTGGTTTTGGATTCTTATTCTGCCACCAAAGTGATTCATTATCTCATCAAATTGTCATCCACAAATTTGATAAGCCTACCTTCAATTTTTGTTCCCATCTAAGTTATTAATTAAAATGTGGGAAAATATTAAGGATAGAAGGACTAGCACTATCTTTTGGGCAAGGTGGTTTGTTCCCATCTAATCTTAACTATTCTTGAATGCAGTGTGAATTCCTATATTTTTTTTTTTCTATAGAAGTAGCAAGAAAAATCCCATGGTGCCTTCCTGAAATCCAGACAGACTATTTTGTGCCTTTTCTTAATGTATCAGTCAGGTTACGCTTTCTAAAAACAAAAAGCCCAACCCACTGCTTTCGAGTTGATTCTGACTCATAGCAAGCCTATAGGACAGAATAGAACTAGCCAGAAGGTTTCCAAGGCTGTGAATCTGTATGGTAGCAGATAGCCTCATCTTTCTCCCATGGAACAACTGGTGGGTTTAAATCACCAACCTTTTGGCTAGCAGCTGAATTCCTTAACCACTGTGCCACCAGAGCTACACTGTCCAAGAAGGGCATGAATTGTTTAGCTATGTCTTGTGGAACCTTGCTTAGGGAACCTTGTTTTCCAAGATTTTAGGGATTACACCTTACTCTCCCAGGTTCCTACCAACTATTTCTGTAATAGTCTATTCTAAATTTTGTCCATTTGGGTCAAGCTCACCCATCTTTAATTCGTAGGATTCATGACACACATATTTGGGAAAACTAAGATATTTACCCAAGCACAGTCTTCCTTTGCTTCTTTCATCAGTGGTTCTTCAGAGACCACAAGCAGTGCTTGAGACTTCTCATTCATAAGCCCAGAATGTTGTATGAAGTATTTCCAGGCAAGGATTGCTACTTACATTTTATTTTCTCTTGCAGTCGTTTCTTCTATCTTGGCTAGATAATTTTTTAATGTTCTTTTTCCCTGGAGAAGGATTTGATGCTTGGTAAAGTAGAAGCTGAGCAAAAAAGAAGACCATCAATGAGAGGGATTGACACAGTGACTGCAAAGTATTTCCTTCTGTTGTACATAGGGTTCCTGTGTGTCAGAGCTGACTCGACAGTACCTAACAATGATGAGATTTTTCAACATTTGATCCTTCTGTAAAAATGTTTGCAAGTGTTCCCTCACAATAATGGTAAATTATTGTGCTTCTTATTTCTCATTTCCAAGTTCAATGCTCTTTCTACCCTATGCTACTCTTTAGCAGGGTGGCAAAAGGCACATGCTCTAGAGTTGCTTTGAACTATCTCATAGCTCATTCTTCTTCCTGGTAGAAAGCAGAAAATAATAGGGTTTTCTTTATAGGTTTGCTGTGAGGAGTGAGATAATACAATATAAAATGCTTAGCAGTGCCTGGCACATAAGTTTAAAGTAAATATTATTATGTGTGATATAAGCACTCTAGGCCATATGAAGTTTTACATAGTCAACTAGGCTTGAATCAATAACTGAAGATGTTTCATTTCTTTCTTCTTTTAATAGTGATTTGGATGAAAGTTTACAGAGCAAATTCGTTTTCCATTCAACAGTTCATATACATTTTGTTTCGTGACATTGATTGCAATCCCCACAATGTAGCAGTTCTCTTCCTACTTTCTCCCTGTGTCCTCCTTAGGCATTCCTGCTCTTAGAGATTTCTTCTTGTACAAATGCTGTCCTTCTGATCTCCCGTGGTTGATTTTCTAAGGAGTGTCCCTACCTGTTGTAATTGTTCACCTTGCAGGCTGTCTGTTTGGCTAAAAGTTAAGCCACAGGAGTAAGTTCTGTTCCAGGCCTGAAGGATGACTAGGGGCCGTAATGTCAGGGGTTTCACCGGTTTCTGTCAGACTAGTAAGCCTGGTCTCTTTTATGATTTTGAACTATCAAAGATCTCCAATTTTGATCCCTTTTATGAGTGATTGGCAGTGATAGCCAGATACCATCTAGTTCTTCTGGCCTCATGGTCATGTAAGATGAGGTTCCCATGGTCCACTAGTTCCTTGGACTAATTGTTTCCATGTGTCTTTGATTTTCTTCACTCTTCTTTGCTCCAGATGAGGAAAGATCAATTGTTTTATCTTCAATGGCTACTGACAAGCTTTTAAGATGCTAGTTGCTACTCACCAAAGTAGGATGTAGAACAATGTTATTTGTGTATTATGTTAATGATCCTTCATTTCTGATCTGTATATACCACAAAACCAAACTCATTTGATTCTTTCTTTCAGATGGAACTAGAGGCATTGCGTTCTATTTATGAAGGAGATGAAAGTTTCCGGGAATTAAGTCCAGTTTCATTTCAATATAGGGTAAGAAGTGGTATGAGTAGGAGCGACTGACTGCTACTTTGCTAGAAAAACCAAAAGTTGTTAAAAATGGTGATTATTTGCTCATTAAATCTGTTTTATTTTAAACTTAGGTCTTTGGATTTTCAGACACATTTAAATGAAAATTCATTACCCTGACATCAATTATTTTTAACATTTAAAAACATTTTTGAAAGTTCAGAAACTTAAAAAACCAAGATAAACTTTTTTAAAAATTTGAACAAAATCATAAAATATTAGAGATGGAGGAAACAAGATTTTTCCTTCTTATCATAAAGATAACTTCTCTCAGTTATAGTTTTCTAAGTTATTTAGTCTTAAATTTCCACAGGTAATATTGGCACATAATAGGATTAAAATCCAGTCTCTGTATTCTAAGGCCGTTATTCTTTTTTACTACCCTATGATATGAACAGGAAATGTTGATATTTTCTTTATCTCTGTTCAGATTTAAGATGAAATATGTGAAATGTGGATTTTTCCTTAAAATGGTGTTGCCAATCAAACTATCTTGAAAATAAAACTACCAATATTTTATAAATGAATAATATAAATCATTTATCCAAACACTTATAAGTAGTGATAGAATGGGAAAGCTTTTTGGTAAAAGACATGGTTATCATTAACGTCACCATTTAAAATGTATGAGAAGTGATTATTATATATGATTATTATAGACTGTCCCAATAAATAAATTTATAGTTTTTACTTTTAGATACTCTCCTCTCTTCTCATCTCTTCTTAATTCCCTTTTAAGCACAATAATTCTTGCACTATCTCCTGGATATAACAATCAAAGGACTTTTAATGACCTAAATTAAAGATGGAGTTAACTCTAGCCCTCTGTTTGAAAGCAGCTAACTCCAACTTCCCAAGTTTGTGGCTTACTGTTTTTGCTCTTCCTTTTCTTGTTCCCCACAGTTGATAATTACTTTTATCCTCAGAACACTGTGGTCAAAGAAACAAACAACAAAAAAGTAGGAGATATAGTCTTGGTACTAGAAAAGCTTCTGGGCAGGTCGGAGAGACAGGCCATGAACATGAACTAGCTCTGTTAAGGCAGCCTTGGAAGAAATGAAAAGTCAGAGTATCTGTATACTCCCCTTACCCCATGGTCATTCACTTAGTCTTAACCTGTACCCCTGAACTTTTCAAAACATTACATTTCTGATCTGCAAACAAGCATTGGAAGCAAGTCATCATTTTAAAGACTATAATTTAGCTCTCTGTATTTGTATCACTTTTTACAGCCTAAGATTTCCCTTTTCTTCAGATAGGTGAAAATGGTGATCCCAAAGCCTTCTTAATAGAGGTTTCCTGGACAGAAACATATCCCCAAACACCTCCAATTATATCTATGAATGCTTTTTTTAACAACACCATGTGAGTAGTGTTTAATTTTCATTGTTTAGTTTTTTGTTTGTTTTCGTTTTTATTTTACTCTTTCTTTCACTTTTTTCTTAGCAATCTATTTGTTGTAAATTGTAGATCATCAGCTGTAAAGCAGAGTATATTAGCCAAGTTACAGGAAGCAGTTGAAGCTAATCTTGGAACTGCTATGACTTATACATTATTTGAATATGCCAAGGACAATAAAGAACAATTCATGGAGAATCACCATCCCATTAATTCTACGGTGAGTATGTGATTATTTTATGCCAGATTTTTTGTTTTTGCTCTGCTCGTAATTAACTTTTACTTGTACTTAATTTTTGAAAATAGGAAGGGGACTTTGTGTTATGTTTAACAGGGCAGTTGCATCTGAGTTAAATAAGAACAATGAATTTTAGATTTCTAAGCTTCTATTTTAGTTAGGAAACAACATTACATTCTCTAGAATACTTCATGGGTCTGTCAAAACAGACCTTATAGAACCTAGTATTTTAAAAATTTATTTCATCTCTTCATGAAGCTTATAATTAAAGATTTTTTAGGTAGTTCTAAAATGTGTGGTACTGCCTTGGAAACCCAAGGAGGGGTGGCTATGAGTCAGGTCCGACTTGTTGGTACATAACAAGAACAACAACAAAATATGCATGAAATTGCTTTTTCCATAAGGTTTATTTCATTGTAAATTGTCTTGCCACAGTTCAATTTGAAGGTATTACAGTTTAAGGACTTCATTGAATAGAAAAAAAAAAAAAAAAAACTATAATTATTTTAGTTATAGAATGGTTTTAGGAAATAATCAACTTTTCTGACCTTAAGCATATGCACCAAGTCATGGCCTAAAAACATTTCAGTGATCAGTGTTAATTTAGTTTTGTCTTGTGAACCAAGCTATAAGCTTTTGGACAGCAAAGGCCATTTCTTTTACTTGAGTGGTTCTGGCTTCCACATTTCCAAAAAGACACAGAAGAAAGAGGCAACTGAAGGAGCAGTACAGGGTAAGAGTTAAGGACATGAACTGCGGGTCATATCAATGGGGTTCAAATCTCGCTGTGCCCCTTACTAATCGTATGACATTAGGCAGCCTTTTTAGTCTCCATATGCTCAGTTTTCTCATCTGTAAAATGGGGATTATTAGTACTATCTACTTATAACATTGTACTAAGAATCAAATGAGTAGTATATGTAAGACATTTAGGACAATATTTGGCACCCAGTAAGCATTTTAAAATTTGAATATCATAAATACTGAGTATATGATCTTAAATGTTTTAAAGATTTTCTTTATTCTCCAGGGGAACAGGATGTTCTAGGCAGGGTATTTGATTTTTCTAAAGTCATGTTTAGATTTCCAAATTACAGCAAATTAACTGAATTGTAAAACTACTTTGGACCCTCAGAGCCTCAGTATAATGCTGGTATCATGTTTTTCATCCCAAGGACTTGATTATAACAATTGCAGTTTTATTATGTCTTTCATTGTGAACTTTCAGAAGAGTGAAACCAACAATGTGCTAAGGACATGTGATTTAATAAATGAGTAATAATAACATAGGAGTCTTGTACTTAATAAATCTAAAATATATCTGCCTATTTCAGGAAGCAGCTATGTTATCATAATTTGGTAAGTGTTGTATCATGAGTCTAAGAGATGTGTATTTTTTTCTAGACATCCATAAGCAATAGCATCTCAGTTGAAACTCCTAATACAGCCCCATCAAGTAAGAAAAAAGACAAAAAAGAACAACTTTCAAAAGCCCAGAAACGTAAACTGGCAGATAAAACAGGTTTGTTTTATTTTTTTTATTTCACAACATAGGTACATTGATTACGATATAATGTGATATAGGTGCTTATTAGGAGCCCTGATGGTGCAATGGTTAAGTGCTTGGCTGCTAACCCAAGTATCTATTGTTTGAACCCACATGAGAAAAGACCTGGCAATCTGCTCCCTTAAAGATGGTAGCCTAGGAAACCCTAGGCTGCTCCACTCTGCCATGGAGGGTCACTAGGAGTTGGAATTGCCTTGATAGCACACAGCAACAGTGCTTATTAAATATATTTGGATTTAGCAGATTAGGTCTCCATTCTTGGAATATTTGGGTCATACCTTATCTTTAGTCACATGTACACTGAAAATATTTCCTACTACTTCATCAGAAGAAACAGCCGTTTCAGGGGAATGTAACTGAGTGACACAGGTGCCTCTAAAAATGAGTCTTGAGATTGAGGAACATTAGAAAAGTGTACAAAAATTTCTTTGTCTTACTTGTGTTCTGTAATGTGTTTGGGATTTTCCTATTTGTTTACCTTTATGACAAGGAGCTCCAGTGGGAGAATGGTTAAAATAACATTTGGCTGCTAACCGAAAAAGGTTGGTGGTTTGAGATCACCAACCCCTCCACAGGAGAAAGATGCTCCCATAAAGATTTACAGACTTGGAAACCCTACGGGACAGTTTTCCTCTGTCCTAAAGAGTCACTATGAGCTGGAATTAACTCGAGGGCAGTGGGTTTGGGTTTGGTATGATAGGCGTGTGAAGAAATTTTTTTTTAAATACAGTTTTTATCTGAGGTGAGTATTGCTATACCATTAGATCTTAGCACAATAAATAATTGAATCTTTTTTCTATAGTTTACATATTTATGTAATAATAAGATTTAAGAACAGAATTTTTATGTATCCTAAATCAGAGCTTTTTGTATGGATCTTTGTTGTTGTTGTTATGTGCCGTCGAGTCAGCCCTGACTCATAGCGACCCTCCTTGGGTTTCCGAGGCAGTATCACTATGGAAGTAGGATTGCCCAACCTTCATTCCGAGGAGTGGCTGGTGGGTTTGAACCACCAGCCTTCTGGTTAGCAGTCAAGTGCCTTAGCCACTATGCTGCCAGAGCTCTTTAGAAGAGTATTATAAACTTCAGTTCATATCAACAGTAACATTTGATTTCTTTAATTTACTTTACTTAACCTGAAAATTTGAAAATTGTTGCTAATCAGTAAGCCTTTTTCCCAGTCAGGGAAAATGAAACATGATCATGTGCACATGCACATTTATATACATATATGCGTGTGTGTATATGTATGCTTGTGTGTGTGTGTGTGTTACTGGTATAAGGCTACAAGCTGCCTTTACTGGGAAGAACGACTCTAACTTTAGGGAAGTGGGTTTAAAGTGCCCTTGTTCTGGTGGCGTATTGCCTAAGGCATTTGACTGCTAATCACAAGGCTGGTGGTTCAAACCCACCAGCCACTCCTTGAAAGGAAGACTGAGCAATCTACTTCAATAGAGATACCACCTGGAAACCCTAGGAGGAGTCACTATGAGTTGGATTCGACTTGAGGGCAGTGAGTTTTTTTCTTCTATAAGGTAGTATTTTGGATTTTTGTAGTTTGTTTATATATGGTTGTGTCTCTGGTGGTGTAATGCCTAAGGCATTTGACTGCTAACCAGAAGGCTGGTGATTCAAACCCACCAGCCACTCCTCGGAAGGAAGATTGGGCAATCTACTTCTGTAGTGATACTGCCTCGGAAACCCAAAGAGCAGTCACTATGAGTTGGATCTGACTCAATGGCAGTGAGGTGTTTTTTTATTTTTTATGGTTATGTCAGAATAAAAAAGTAGCAACCCTGTGTTGGTCCCCAAAATACGTTTTTGAAATTGTAATGGTTTGTGAAATAGGAAACCTAGGAGTGCATTATACTAAAATATAAAAGCAGCATTAAAGTGTAAACAACCAAAGCAGTAAATTAACCATTTTTCAGTCTGTTTTCTAGAATTTTGATTAATCTCGTTTTGAAACATTTCAGATTTATGCCTGGACTTAAACTTGAAAGTAAACATTTTCTCGTGTTGCTTACTTAGTTACCTGTTGCTTTCATGCAGTTACATAATGACATGTGATCATTCACTTTAATTAGTATCTATCTCCATCTCATTGATAATGCACACCTAGAGTCATTAACTCCCTGTAGTTTAGATATAGAAGTTTGCTATGAGGAGCTTTAATTCTAAATAAAACTTTAATGGAACAGGCATGGCACTATGGGTAAAAATTTTAGTTACCAAAATTGGTGATCTACCCCTATACCCTTCATAACCAGTAACCAGTGGGATAAGATTCTTGAATGAAGGAGGAAAGAACCATCAGCATCTCAAATTGAACTCCAATAATATTGTTTCTCTCCTATTAGAATTATGGGGAAAATGAATATACATCAAGCATAAAGGAAATGAAGCCATTTTAAATTTAAGGATTTAAAATTATGTTCATTATTAAACGATTCTATGAGTTGGAATTGAGTTGATGGTGGTAGGTTTTGGTTTATGTTTTGTTGTTATGTGCCGTTGAGTCGGACCAGACTTATAGCGACCCCTCCTTGGGTTGCCAAGGCAGTATCACTACGGAAGTAGATTGCCCAACTATTTAAAGAGTGAAAGCACTTTGTAAACTATAAAAACTTACATAAAATGTTGTGCTTGTTTTCAAGCACTCCCAATGATTAAAGCCCTTTTAAAAGAATTAGATTGAACAATGAATATTTGATAGAGCACAACAAGTAATAAATAAAGTGGTCTTGAAGCCAAACATTTGTTTATAAGACCTCCTATCTTGATCTAGTTTCTTGGTGTGAACTGCTAATTTGTTAATCAGTAAACTGACCATTTCTTACTTAATAAGAAGCAACTTTATAAAGCAGTAAAATTGGGTAAATATATGCAACTAATAAATTAATTAGCTCCTCTTCCCTGACATTACCAATCTACCTCCATATTTTTTTCCTTGATACTAGGCTTTGTCTTGAATGGAGGTAGGGTAAATATAAAATGAAATACATGGCAAATATCCCCAGAAGAGTGCTTTCAATCTACGATGTTGATAAACTGTTTTTCAACTTTAGTAATACAGGCTTATCTCGTTTTATTGTGCTTTGTAGATATTGCGGGTTTTTTGTTTTTTTTTTTACAAATTAAAAGTTTGTGGCAACCCTGTGCTGAGCAAGTCTGTGGGTGCCATTTTTTTTTAATAGCATGTGCTTATTTCATATCTCTATGTTGCATTTTGGTAATTCTCACAATATTCCCAACTTTTTCATAATGCCATTGCACACTTAGTAGACTATACTATATTCTGAATATAACTTTTGTGTATAGTGGGAAATCAAAAAATTGTGACTCATTTTATTGCAATATTCACTTTATTGTGGTCAGAAACTGAACCTACCATATCTCCAAGGTATGCCTATGTGTGATTTAAATTTTTGTCGATTTATTATGTAGAATAGTAAATATAAGCTTATTTGTTAGACTGTTAATTGATTTTAAACTAGTTAATTGATTATAGAAATAAAGTTACTATTATTTTAATCCTCTAGATCACAAAGGGGAACTTCCTCGAGGATGGAACTGGGTTGACGTGGTTAAGGTATATATTTATATTCATTTTTTTAAAATAACTTTCTATTGTAGTTTGAATGAAAGTTTACAGAGCAAATTGGTTTCCCATTCCACAATTTATACACGTTTTGTGACACTGATTGCAATACCCACAGTGTAACAGCACTTTTCCCACTTCTCCTCCTTTGGTTTCCTTTCATCCTTCTTTCCTGTCCCTTGCTGACTTTTCTACTTTATCCCTGGGCATATGCTGCCCTTTTGATCTCCTTTGGTTAATTGATCTAAGAGGCAGTACCTCCCTGATGTTATTGTTCAACTTATAGCGCTGGCTATTGTTTGGTGGTGTAGTGCCTAAGGCATTTGACTGCTAACCAGAAGGCTGGTGGTTCAAACCCACCAGCCACTCCTC